CAAAAAGCAACAACAAAGAAGAAATTTACACTGATACTCTTCTGTGGACTGTCTCTTCCAAGTCATAACTCTATGAGATCAGAGACTCACCCCAAACCCAGCACAGTGCCTGGCACAGTGGAATCTCAGAGAAAATACTTATTGAACGACTAAGTTAAACACATACACACCACTATGCTGGATTTCAGGAACATGATGGCAAATAAGCATCAGAAATCAGCTTGTAGATTGGGAAAAAGAAGGGACGAGCAAAACAAGAGGATACGTGGACAGACCCAGCAGGTGCCGGGTGAGGAGTGTCTGCCTGCTCAGGCTCGCCAGCGGAGATGGCTTTGCCCCAGCCCCACTCATTTGCCCCAGGTACAGATTAACCAAGATGTCGGAGGACAGGTGTCTAATGACTCTCTACTACTCTACTCTCCCAGAGTCTGGAGCATCCCTGGGATTTTCTGCCATGCAGACACCACTGTATCCCAGCCATGCAGAGTGGCATTGCCCCACATCCTGCAGAGGCACACTTGGGGATGTGTTCAGAAGGCCGCCTTATGAAAGGGTCTGGCTGCACTAAGAACATTGCACACAGAGGGTTTCAGTTAGAAACCTCCTGGTGCTTCTGCACCGTCATCTCATCCTATCCTCAGACCAACCCTGAAGAGGCAGCCAAGGGCAATGGTTTTCTTCCCCACTGGACAACTGGGGACACTGAGGTCAACAGAGATCACTTGGCGTGGCTGGGGAATGAGAGTAGCTCAGGGACAGAACTTGGAGAAAACCCAAGGTCTTTTCTGCTGGGTCTTCCCAGCAGGGCAGTGAGCGGAGGAGTTCTGGAGCTGAGGGCGCAGTGGCAGGAGCTCAGGCTGCCCACTGCCTTTGCTGTAGGATATCACCTTCCTCCAGAAAATCAGAGCAGATGGACCCTGAGGTCATCTTGTACAAAGAAGGAAACTGAAGCCAGAGAGATGAATCTCCTTTAGTTTCCCTTTCGTGCCCTCCTGTCATCAAGTGGCAAAGTAGAAATTGTCATCTGTCTCCCTAAACCTCTCCCTTCTTTGCCCACATGGCTAGGCTCCATTTTCCAGCCATCTTTGCAGTTGGGTGAACCATATCACCATTGTTCAATGAAATGTAAAGGAAGTGAAGCATGCCTGTGTGGCAAAGCCACTCCCACGGACAATTCCATGCTCTCTTTACCTCTGTTTCATTGGAATGACAATTCACAGGAAAACTTTGAAAGATATATATTATAGAATGGCAGAGCCACCATATTGTACATAGGTCCAGAACATCAATGCTTAAGGCTATTAAGTGAACAAGAATGAAACACTGTAGTGTTAAACTGTGGCATTTGAGGATCCTCTTTGTTACTTCAGCATAACCTAATCCTAATCTAACTAAGACAAGTAGAGGCAGGAAAGCCCTTGCAAAAGCTCTGAGTCCCTGCAGTATTCATGTCGCATGCACTGACTGGACTCCTGCTGGTTTCACTGTCAATCATTTGGAGTGCCTCCATTCCCCTGCAGAGGTTAGGAATGCCCCACTCCTAACACACACAGCCCAGGAATTCCATCTGAGCCATCTTCTTTTCTGTTTTATTTTGGATCAACAGACTCCCAGAGCTGGAATGGATCTGGGGGGGGGGGTCATCTGATTTATCCTCCTGGCTCCAGAGAGAAGCTCTTCTAAGCCATCTGAGATAACCAGGAATCTTGTCTGAATTTTCACATCCCTGAAAAGGGACGTTACCGATGTCCTTAAGACACCTGTTTCATCCCTCCTTGCTCCTGTGCCATAATAGGGTTCTTCCTAAACCTTAAGACATCCGGGCTAGTTGATAACTTAGGATAATCTCTCTCTCTCTCTCTCTCTCTATATATATATATATATTTGTGTGTGTGTGTGTGTGTGTGTATTTGGGGCGGGGGTCCAGTCGTGGGGCCTGAACTCTGGGCCTGGGTGCTGTCCCTCAGTTCTTCAGCTCAAGGCTAGCACTCTACCACTTGAGTCACAGAGCCACTTCCAGCTTTTTTCTTATGTGGTGCTGAGGAATCGAACCAAGGGTCTCAGGCATGCAAGGCAAGTGCTCTACCACTGAGTCACCTTCCCAGCCCATATATATATATATTTGTGTGTATGTGTGTGTGTACATATGAAGAAACTGAGGACCAGATCACAATTATATAGTGGTCAAGTAAGAGAAAGAAGCAAAAGCACTAAGATTAAACTTAGTACTTTTTCCAAGGTATCTATCCTGCCTCACACTGCCCTGCTAACTGCTCTTGCTCAGTCCTAGGAGATAGAAAGTGCTGGGAGCATGCCCACTGTGATCAACATTTGCAGGTTTGTCCTGCTTCGCTCTCCTAATGCACTAGTGAAGCCTGTCCTAGCAACTGGTTACCATGAACTTGCTTATTTGACTTAGAAGGCAGAGAGAAGATTACAGACAGATAAACCTGTGGTGCTTCAAGGGGAGGAGCAGGTGGCAGGTAGAAATTTGCCCCCTGGGGCTTGGCTAGAAAGGTGAGATTCTCTAGTAAGATCTGTATATCCCCAGGGGAAGCCGCGAAGGGCCATGGAACCCTTTAAACGTCCCTGGCTCTGGAAGGGCAACTAGTGTGAGATTCTGTTCTCTGTGGAAGGGGGAGAGGAAGGGGCAAGGACCAGAACCCCTAAGCACGGTGGACTGGGCTGTTAGAACTTGCCTGGCTGGGTCTGGGCAGCTGTGCAGTCCTGTGTATTAATAAGAGAACAAGAGTCCAGAAAACTTAAAACGGTCCCTGAGAGTAAACCAAGTTACCTGTGGGGATCATTGGAGATAATTGCTTGGCACTTTCTTGGAAAGATCTGGGAATTCTATGTGAGAGGTGAAAAGTTGGACTTGTTTTCTTATTATTTAAAACAAAAACAAGAGGAAAGAAAACGGAGTCTTTCCTCCTTCATTTAAGGTGAGCTGTTTACTGATCCTTGGGTCTAAACAGCCTTTGTATATGTTGCCTGCCAAATGACTCACTGGTACTGAGTCAGCAGAAAGCTGGCCTGGGCCTGTCTGCAGCCGGTGGACATCATGTTCAGCTCATTCTCCTGGAGGTGGGCCGTTGAGATCTGGAGAAGAGCAGAAAAGTGGGAGGGAGTGCTGGGAGGGAGAGACCAGTCTACAGTGTGAAGTCCAGTCTCAGACTTTCCTGACTATATGAGTCAGGAGACCCCTTCATACTTGACAAGATGCCTGAGGAACGAGAGTATTCATTTCATTGAGAATAAGCACAAATTATGAATTAGAAGACTAGGATGAGTGGTGGCATACAGTCATTCACAAACAAGTCACTTCATTCTTGAGTCGTTTTAGAATGTTGAGGGGAGTGGTAAGGTGGTTTCAACTCAGGGACTTGGACTTTCTTAAGACAGGTGCTCTACCACCAGCCCTTTTCACTTGCCTTATCTTTCAGATAAGGTCTGGTATTTTTGACCAGGATTAGCCTGGACAAGGATTCTCCTATTTGGCTCTCTGCATTCGTGGGATGACAGACTCAGGCCACCACACCCTGCTTTTTTTTTTTTTTGGTTGAGATGCAGGGATCTTAAGACACAGACTCACCTATGAACTATAGATCTTCCCGACCTCAGCCTCCAGAGTAGCTAGGATTACAGGTATGAGCTACTGCGTGGGGCTTAGTTTTAGAATCTTGAAGTGAATGAAGTCTTCTTCATTTAGGCGTTTTATTATTTGTTTACTAGGAGGGGAATATGGGCACTCGTGGGACTTTTGTTTACCCAGATCTGTTGACACTGAATCTTTTGAACTTCTCCGAAGCTTTCACGTAAGATTCAGTGGTGTCCCGTGCATCCTGGTGTTTGTAAGTTGTGCAGCCCTTTTTCCTGATGATGCGTTTGCCGGAGACCAGTCTGGATCCACCGTTTTCTTGATCCCTGCGGCCTTGCCAGGGTGTCCAGGCAGTGACATCTCGGCAGAACTTCTGGTGGGAGCCAAAGGCAGGGGTGAGGTGGGGAAGGGAGTCCAGGCTTGGGAGGGTGGAGGGTGAAGAGGCGGATTGCAGCTCTCTGCTGGGGTGGGGTGGGGGGGGTGGTGGTGAGGAGTTAAAGCAAGTTCAGCATCAGCACTGGAGACCAGGGAGGGCCGGGGTGGGGGCAGAGCTTGGGGGGGGCAGGGCCCGGGCCCCCCTTCCCTCTCGGGTCAGAGCGCTCGCTCGTACCGTAGTTCCTGCCAACCTCACCCCCCGGACCTGCCGTGCGCCGAGGGAGCTGGGGACCGGGGCAACCGATCCCCAAAGCCTTTTCCTTCTTTTGAACTCTACATTTGCCTGCAAAGCCCAAGCGAACAAGCGACGCTGCGGGGTGTGTGCGTGAGATGCCAGCGGCGCGGAGGTTCGGTTGACCTCACCCGGCGGATCGGGGTGCCAGGCGGCGATCCCGGGCCGCCCCCGCCCCCTTCCTGCCCTCTCCCCGCCCCCGGGGCCCGGCGTGCGCCCCGGGTGATGTCAACCGAGGCGGAGC